CGCATATATTGCTTTGCCATTTCTGTATATACTGGTCTTTGAAACGTTGTTCAGCTATAGTATTGAACCATTAATTTTAATATAAAACATAGCAATTCAAAGGCAATTGAGTATATCTTTCGTTGGAATATTGGCAAATACTGTTTTCAGTAGAAAATACTTGAATTTATAATTATCTATAATTTAAGGTTATATACTGATAGTGAAAATTCGTTCTTTGGTACGGTACAAGCTTACGAAAACCGTCCATAAACCACTTGTCAACTCTTCTTAAAGTAATTGCAGCCCGGAGGACCGGGCTGCTCTATACATATAAGTTTAAGAGTTGGTATATGGGGATTGAGGTGGGAGAAGTTATTCAGAATTAAAGGTTTTCTAAACATTAAAAAGATTGTTAATCAGAATGTTCTTTTCCTTTATAAATTACGAGATACACAATATATTTACTTCTATAAAGTGAATCTGTAAAAATATATATGTTTTTCATATTTAATATATAAAGTTGCTTATCATTTACTATCGAAAAAACGACAGGTCCCTTTTTTTAGAACATCGAATTTTACTTATCGCATAAAAACGTAAAAATGTACTTTACACAGTTCGTGTTTTATATTCTTAAAGTGAAAGACATTTTTGAAAATAGGTGATGCATGTGTCTGGTTTCAAATTATATTTCATGCAGCCAACATTTACTTGAGGAATTGATAAAGTTTAAAAGGGTATCGTTTTTGTTCGATTTTCATCCGACTATAAGTTTTCAAAATATTCTCGACTATCGTCTCCATCATTTAGACGCATGCCTTTTTCACACATATCGAAGCGGTTCGATGATCAAGACTCATTTCCATTGTTTACTTTATTTATTTCCAGGGTGACAATTGATGGTTACATCAATGTTTTCTTGTTTTGTTGTGTATATTGGTGTCTCTGTATTGGGACTAGAACATCTGCCGTTTTTAATTTTGTTTTTCATTGGGCAGAAGGGAAAGAACGAAAGGTTGTTTGAAGTACTGTTGACAAGGTCATCTTTTTAAACTTTATTTCGATAAACCCTATAAATATCCGATGCACGTTACCATCAATACAATTTACAATACTATTAATAGGATTATTCGATATTGTTGAAATTAGTATATTTTAGGAAATTTTAACATAAGCAGAAATAAATTAACTATCACAGAAAAAGAAAGAAAAGAAATCCCGAGCTTATGTGGGCATTTGGGAGATACCAAATTCTCTCATGCTTGAAGAGAGATAACCCTGAGAAACTTTTAAAAGATGGAATATCTGGAATACTGGAAGTATGGGATATCTACACTAGCTAAACAATGGAAGACAAGATTCATTTTAACATATACAATATAATACATTTATCTTAAACTAGTAGTACCGCATTGTGCAATACGCGTACGGATGACCGGTCCGAAAACCCATTCCACGTTTCAGTCCGGCGTGCAAAAATCCATATCAAAACCAGAAGTAACGTTTTTATAACCTTTTAAAGTTAAATATATCCATTGTATTGAAATATACATGTAATAGTATAATTCATGTACTCAAATTTGTTGATTTTATTATTTTTTGTATTGTATAATTTTCGATTTGTATTGTATATTTTTTTTTTATTTGTATTCTATATTTTTAGCTCTACTGTCAGAGACCAGAAGAGCTTATGCGATAGTAAGGTGTCCGTCCGTCTGTCTGTCCGTCTGTAAACAATTTTTCAAAACGCTATTCCTCCTACAGTTTTGGTCTGATTTCAATATTACTTGGTACATAAGTAGACTACACTAAGATACATAATTCTGTGTATCGGTTTTCGATTTCAATGAACGGTGTTGCCATGGTTACTAAAAATAGAGATTTCTGGGAAGTACTTTCAAAATGCTACTCCTCCTACAGTTTTGGTCTGGTATCAATATAACTTAACACACAAGTAGACTATACTAAGATACATAATTCTATGTATCGATTTTTGATTTCAATGAACGGTGTTGCCATGATTACTAAAAATAGAAATTTTTGTGAAATTCTTTCAAACTCCTTCTACAGTTCTGATCTGATTTCAATATAACTTGGCTCACAAGTACACTATACTAAGATGCATAATTCTGTGTATCAGTTTTTGATTTTGATAAATGTTGTTGCCATGGTTACTAAAAATAGAAATTTCCTTGAAATACCTTCAAAATGCTACTCATCCTACAGTTTTGGTCTGATTTTAGTATAACTTGGCACACAAGTAAACTACACTAAGATACATAATTCTCTGAACCAGTTTTGGATTTCGATGAACGTTGTTGCCATGGTTACTAAAAATAGAAATTTTCTTGAAATACTTTCAAAACGCTACTTCTCCTACACTTTTTGTCTGATTTCAGTATAACGTGGCATACAAGTAAACTACACTTAGATACATAATTGATGTTATTGTTTTTTGATTTTGTTGAATGATGTTGCCATGGTTACTTAAATCGAAATTTCTGTAAAATTGTTTTAAAAGCTACTCCTCCTACAGTTTTAGTCTGATTGTAATAAATCTTGCCACAAAAAGAGACTTAACCAAGGATCATTATTCTCTTTATTACTGTTACAAAGTTTCAAGTCCAAGTGTTACTTTATCTTCCTTTATTAGTACAACCAGTAGAGCTACAGTCTCGTCAGAGACTTCTGGTTTTTATTTGTGACGTAAAATTTTCCAATTTAATTTTTTTTTGTATATTTCCATTTGTATTTTATAATTTTTCTTTTGTATTGTATAATTTTTCATTTTTATTGTATAATTTTACAGTTGTATTGTATAATTTTCCATTCGTATTGTATAATTTTTCATTTGCATTCCCTATTTTTCATTTGTATGGTATATATATATATATATTTTGCAATCTATTATTTTTCATTTTTATCGTGTTTTTAATTTATTTCATGTATTTTTTATTTGTATTCTTCAATTTTCCATTTGTTTCTATAATTTTCTATTTGTATTCCACAATTTTTCAATAGTATAATATATTTTCTATTTTTATTGTATAATACACCATTTGCATTCTATCATCATGATGCTTCATTTGTATTGGATGTTAAATGTGAAGCTAACAAACCGCGATTAATCTCATACATTCAGTACTAGTACACAAAAGGAATCGTGAACAGAACAAAATCAAGGACCCTTGGAAACACCAGAAGTTGGATCAAGTGCCTAGAAGGAATGAGTATCCCTTGTCGACCGGTCACACGCCCCCTATGTATTAATCAGGCATACAGAGTGCCCTGTAGTCAAATGTATCTAAAAACAATGACCTAACAAATGATATCAAACACGACAGACAAATACGACCCGACGATAGGTTGTATTTACAAACAATGTCATTAAAACGACTGTAGAATTTGCGAACAGCTGACTTTTAACGGGGTAATAGAAATCCTGGTAACGTCAACTTATTTGTCAGTAGCTTGCCTCGGTTTAAAACTTGATCGTACTGAGAGTACGCTCCTTCGTAGCGAATCAGCTGCGATACATAAACACCGTATGCAGATGATGTTGGAATATTCCTACATAAATAAGGGGAGTTAACAATTTAAAAGCTGAAGTCACTCCGTTTGCCATACAGTTTAGTTTGTTTGTATGTTGTTTAACGTCCCTCTCGAGAATTTTTCTAACAAAGGGGCACAATTAGTGCCCATCAAAATTATAACAGATTGTTGGAATACCTGGTCTCCCTCATAATTTTGTTTCCATCAATTATTTAAATGTGTAAATTGTCATGTGTTAGACATGGACTTACACTCATTAACAAATCGAAATCACTGAGGAATTTAAATAACAGTTTATCAGCATAACTCCTGCACTGAATTTCCTGAAAATTTGTAGGTATTTCAGACATAATGTATAGATTTGTATATTACCAAGAAATTTTGATCCATTATTTATCTAGAAACTTCAGCCCAATTAAATTTGTAACATACAAAGATTTGAATGTCCTTATATGCAAGAAGTTTTGATGTGATGATTTTTTGCAAGTAATGCCCCTTTTTGAATTATACTGTGTATTTAAAATGCACTGTGCCATTCATTAAGTGTTGCATTATTGAGTTTTGAGGGAGCGTGGGGTATGTGAGCTTGCTCACTTTTTCTTTCATATTACAAGATTACATTGAAGTAAACTGATAAATATATAACTAAAAGAAGAATTATAATAGTTTTTTTTTTTAATTTTGACTTTATTTGTCCAAAAACTGGCATTTTCTTGGCTTTTGCACTATTATTGTTTATTCACAATCAATTTTATTAATTTTCGAGATGCTCTATTGAATCTTGGAAGAAAGTTTCTGATTGTAATGTTGCTTAAATTTACAAGATAAAAATTTGCCTCAATTTGAGACCATAGTTTGGGAACATATAAGGTGTTTATGTTGCTTGTTTCCGTATACAACGATCAACCTAATATAAATTTCAAATATATATTCCACGAGATATTTTTTTTTAAAGTTTTTCTTCCGATGTTCTCATTGAAATACCTCATTTGTCATTCTCGGAATTTTGGAGCGGAACAAAGATCTGATTTTTAATCACCTGTGTTCTATTGCGGGGAAAAACAGAATTTTGTCTGAGCGTAAAATAGTCATATTGAAATATTGGAACTGTGCGCATTATTAAAGTCACACAAAACTAGTATATTGATTAAGCCAATTTCCAATTTTGTTGATTATGAATTTCTGTTCCTTTTACGTTAGGCACAGAAACAATACCCTTTCACCCAACTTCCCCACAATCCCCATAAACAGGGGTAAGAGACAGAAATTCAACGCATTCACAGTACAAATCGATAAATTTGGTCCCACTCTAAAATAAATTGTAAAATGAATTGGATTGAAAATTTATGTTTGTATTTCTAATGAAGAAGTGAACATTAGAATTAATTTCACCATATTTTCTTAGGTGTTCCCTAAATATAAAAGTGATGCGAATTTCTTTAACATGAAGTAAAAGATATTCAAGATACAGAAATGAAGCTTTATTCAGATAGATGATCACTGGCGTACATGTAATAAGTCCAAAATACAGTGTTAAAAATGATAAACGCAATCGGAAAGGCAACTCTTGAGACTTTGTCTACCGTGCGAGCGGTTTTGAGATAGTCAATTTCTCTTACACCGATGGTCTTTCGGACATCAATGCATCTCACTGGAGCTTCTCCTTTAGAATTCATAAGAGGATGTGATGCTTGAACCTATAAAGATATAAAATCTAAAAAGTCCCAAAAATACTGATTAACATTCTGACTTTAGAGCATTAGTATGCATATATGTATCATGAAAATAAAAAGATTAAAATTAGAGTGGCGAATCTGTCCTCTAGTACATGTAATAGCCGTGCAAACAAAACTGATTTTTAAAAAATATCGTTAGAATCATAAAAATAACTATACTTTTTATGTTTTTTCCTTATGAAAAAATGGGTTTTAATCTGAAAAACATTTTCACTATCACTAATCCATATGACTCACCTTTTCATGGTTTCTATTTCACATATAGTAAGTTTTATGGTCGTTATAATGACCTTGTTAGCAAATATAACCTATCATTGGGTCGTATTTTGGCTGACTTGTTAGGTCTTTGTTTTTGTACTGAATTGACAACGGATAGTTCCGTCTATCTGGTCAATACATAGGGCTCACGGCGGGTGTGGCCGATCAACAGGGGATGCTTACTCCTCCTAGGCACCTGATCCCACCTCTGGAATTTCCAGGGGTCCGTGTTTTATGCCCTCTTCACATATTTGTATTGTTTATGGATTTTTGGAGATCGATCACTGTTCGTTATCTTTACCTTTTACATTCTAGAACCTGGATATCCAAGAACATGCAGTCAAAGAGTATCAAAATTCAAAAATCATTTATAATTTTGGTGATCAAAGTTTCCATTATTATGGATTTAATCTCAATGAAGTCGAGTCAGTAATGAAAGAAAATGTTATAGATTACAAAAAAGTCTGACAGATATGTTTGTTAACATCCTACATTTGATTAGATATACGTTTCATTTCAATAACCTGTTTTTTTTTTCGCTCTTCATTTAACTGAACATTCCTATTACCATTGAGCAATGCCCTCGCTTATTGGTCAATCTTTTCAAAGATGATTGATAGGCGGATTCAAATCAGTGACTTTAATTTGTACTATTTAGGCCATTCCAAGTTTTTTTCTATGTTTAGCGTCCACCCATCTTTTAAAAACCTACCTACCTATTCGCAAAAAACACACAAGCCAAATAATAAACCACAGACTATATATTCTTTAAAATGACGTCGTTCAAAGCATTTGATTTCATAAATCTATTGTTCTCGAAGAAAGAACTATTCTTTAGGAAAAACAAGGTATTAAATGCTTAAAATATACCTAATATGACATATTGTAGACAGATACTTAGAGAAATTGATAGAATTTAAAGATTTTGACCAGAACAATTTCAGGACTCCTGATTTTGTTTTTTTTTTCTGATATGGGGTGTCTTAAACCAAGGCGCACGCGGACGCTAAACATAGAAAAATCTTGGAATGGCCTTATTCATAAGAAACATATCAACAGTTCCAGTAGAGGTGTCTGACTTAAATACACCTCGTTTTGGTGGGAGTGCCAATTAAATCTTGACTGTATTTGGCGCTGTAGAGAGTTGGAAACCTATATTTAGAATTCTTGGTAAATGACTATAAATAGACGATGTTGGCGATAAGAGTAGAGTGTAGTTATAAGCTTCGCTTGGAGGATGGTTTGTCAATTTCCTGTTTTTAAAAAATGTTACCCGTTGTCATGTACATGTTGTTTTGTTTCAAATAATTTGTTTCAACTAATTAGCTACCAGCCCCCCCCCCCCACCCCGGTGGGGGGGGGAGGGGCAGCGAATGAAACAACGTGATAGAATAGAGCAAGGGATAGTTCAGAATTCGAAAAAAAATACCATGATTTTGAGATGCATAATGACAACAAATTAACTTACATTCATTAAGGTATCTTTCAACATCGATTTTTGGTGACGTCGTGTTTGAACATTTATATAGGCATATTCCAATAAGGCAGCAAACACAAACAAAAGACACATTGAATTCCAGACATCTATAGCCTTAACATAAGACACACGTGGTAAAGTGGCTCTTATTCCGGAACTTTGTGTGGTTATGGTAAGTACTGTCAAAACACCCAAGGAAATTCGGGCTGGAATTGCATCTACATGTACCCAGAATGAAACCCAAGACAGAATGACGATGAGGATGCTGGGAATGAAGACCTGCGCCATGTAATATCCAATATTTCGTTGTAGATGTAGCGTTGTTGTCAGGCAGGTAAAACTTGCAACTAAATTAGATAAGAATTTATATTATTCATTCGATTACATAAATTACAAGTATACACATATTAGTCTAGTCAGGATAAACCCGAGGTATTGAAACCCAAACCATGGTGTTATTTACAGAGCAGCACAAAATAGTTAAAATTTGTGTCCTTTACAATATTGCAATAGGTGAAGTTTTGAATTTGACGTAAAGACTGAAAATATTTGCTGTGAATTTTTTTTTACACAACGTAGATTACATCAATTTATATTTTGTTTGCGTGTTGGTACTTGATTTTGATATTAATGGGGCAAATAGCACAAAATCTATTCCTCGCAGTAAGGGTTGTGTAGAAAAAATAGCCAAAAAAAACAAAAAAAAAAAAACAAAACAAAACAAAACAAAATAAAACAAAACCGCAGATGTATAATAAAGTATATATAAGTGTTCATAGGTTGAATATACAAGGTCAGCTGCCTATACGTACATGTATGTACGCAAGTGTACATGTGTACACACCATTTTCCGAGAAAAAAATCTAGAGGAGAGAGGGAGAGTTATTCAGAGACAAAAATCTCAATATCATCCAGCAAATATTTTTGTTTCATATTATTTAAGTCAAATTGTTTTGAAATTAGATTTGATAAAAAATATATCCCTCTCGAGAATTTTCACTCATATGGAGACGCCACCACTTGCCGGTGGAGGGCTGCAAATTTATACCTATATTTGGCACTTGGGTGATTGAGCAGTGTAGGATCTTTTTCGTGCCAACACCTACTGTGACACGGGAACCCGCTTTTAACTGTGAATGAAAAATAGCATATTTTTTATGAGAAAGTGATTGAAATATTTGGTAAAATCAAGGAGCTTCCGTGGGCTTCGCCCCCTTTTCCCCCACCAGGGCTTTGCCGTGGACCTACTGGGGGCCTGTGGGGGTGGGGCAGACCCCCTGCCGTTCTCTGCGTACACTTCACTTCCATTCTGGCTATGCGCCTAAAACTTACGCTTCCAACATTTTTGATATTGAAATAAATAAAACTTATTACATATTTTGAAGTACAACTTTTTAAACTCCAGTTCAAGGACACCACGCATCCTTTGGTCAAAGGTAACCTTTTTCTGAAGTATAATTATGTTTTTGTCAATCCCAGCATATATAACAGATGTATAGTCCAGACTATTTTGACGTTCATTTTTGTTCCTTCTGATCAGAACTTGTTTTGAGTACATCTTTCAATTCAAGTGATCCAAAATTAAAACGAAAGGGACCTTTTTTTTTGCAAATTCTATGGTCGATGCAATATGACTTTGTTTGCAATTACAACATGTCGTAAGGTCGAATGTTGACATATTTAAATCATATTGTTTGGCCGTTATCTTCATGCTGCATGAATTATCCAGGATTACTCCGTTTACCGATCAAGACAAAAGGTTAATGGGTGTGTGACGGGTCGATGAGGGGTGCTCTTCTATGGCATCAAATCCCATCTGCGATGTTTTTAGCGGTCCGTGTTTGCTCTACTCTAAGATTTTATTGTTTAATTGGACTTTTGTGCATGATTACCGTCCTTTATCGTCACATTTCATTATGAAACCCTCTCAATATTATTGTCCGAGGAATATATTATTTGATACTAACCGGAGCTGTATTTGAATGTTCGAGTACATTTCTTAATAGAAGGCTCTTCTCTGAAATGGAACTGAGGCATTTCTACTTCATCCACGATGACGGCATTAACTGGCTTCCAGTTAAAAAGGACATTTTCTTCAGTATATCCATCTAAAGCAGTAGAAAAAAATCATTCGCTCTAATTCATTACAGTACTATAAAATTGTTTCATCTGGTACAGTCCAGGGTCTCTCAAGTCTTGCCAGACTTTCAAATTACAACTTAAAACTTTGGACAATGATGATTCAGGCATTTCTATTAAAAAAGTCATGCCCTTGTCTTTTTAAAATATAGAGGATTGCATTTCAATGACATGTGATACTTTGAATTTTCGGCTCGATACAATTTACATGTATTAGAATGACTGTTAGATAGAAAAGAAACATATCATACATGTGTTTTTATTAATATGTTATAATTGGGAGGATAACGTGCTTCAAGTTCCAACCATGGCTTTGCTTAAAACATTGAAGAATATTTATTCCCAAGGTCAAAAATTTTGGGAAACATTCAGCAAAAAATTTACTTATTTCTTACTCAAATAAGATACATCGAATCAGCATTGTCAAAATAGAGCAAATAATACATTACATCCCGTAAAAACTCACATGTTTCGATGAAAACAGGACAATTTTGTTCGTCCATCGGATAGTTGTACAAATTCATACGACATGTTAACGTCAAAGATAACCTTCAAAAAAGTATGTATTGCAGTATTTACAGTGTTAATGTGCAATGCATCCATAGCTTGCATTGGAATTCAATTTAAAGAATTATAGTACGCTGTGCTTACATGTATCTGAGTATTTATCGATTGATTTCGTATTTAATAGGTACCATTTTAGGGAGTATATGGAAATATCAAAGACAAAATAAATTCCGTGTGTGTTGATAACAATTAACTCCCGAAATTAAATCACTACAAGGGTTATTACCTGATGCTGTAGAAAACGGTGCCATTTCTGCTGATGTGAAGAAGTCTGTTAGGAACAGTGATGACATGGAAATGTCCCTCCTTTTCGTTGGGGAAATAAGTATCGGGGATCCAAACGGACCCCATCATCCTCTGGTCAAGTTCAAGGTTACTAAAATTACTCAAGCGCTCAAAGTTAAGGCGTGGGTCCACCCATGTTTGCCTCAGGAACACTTCCATTGATAAATCCTGTACATATACATTAGTGCAATACAATTACATTACAAAATGACTACATTAAAAAGTTTGAAACTATGAATATTCAAAAATAATTATTTAGAGCTTCTGCAGTAGAAAACTAAAATTTTAAGAAGCAAAAATCAGTTCTGTTTTAGCTGTTGTTGTTGAAGATCAGGAGTTATTTTTAAAAGGAAGAACTTTTTAAATAATTTACCATTGCCATCTCGTTGATGGAGTTGATGCTCATGATATGAAGTTGCAGAGTGACATTTGTGGCGCGATCTATAAATACAAACACATCGTTAACTCATGTTTATTAGGGTCCCACATGAAACGTGGAGGTATCTCATTGTTCTTCTATCTGTCCATCAACATCTTTGTTGTGATGCAATAATTCCCAGTTTTCAACATAAAGGTTTTGCCTCACCTGAGCTGAAGTCTAAATTAAAAATGAACTTTTTTGTTAAATGGTGTCCTTCTGTTCAGTTTTAGGTCGTCTGTAAAATTTTTAAATTTTCCAATTCTTCTCCCGAATTACTGGGCCAAATTTCAACCAAACTTGCCACAAAGCATCCTTGAGTGAAGGGAATTCAAATTTTTATTTGAATGAAGATCCACACCCTCTCTCAAGGGAGATAATTAAGATATTAGTCAAATTGGTGGGATTTAAAAAAAAAAACCCATACTGACGAACTACTGGGCCAAAAGATATTAAACTTACATTAAAACTTCCTTACATAGTATAGATATAAGTTTGGTCAAATCATTAACCTGAATATAGAATGGGGCCTCAAAATGAATCAAATTTCGACATGGGAATGAATAGGAAAAATCTTTTAAAATCTTCTCAAAAATTACAGGCCCAAGATAGCTCAATATATATTGATATTGATATGGACACATCCTCACTCAGGCATGTAGATTCAAGTTTATTCTAAGCATTGCACCAGGGGGTAGGATAGGGCTTCAATAGGATATTAATGTTTATATATTTCTATCGTCAATTTTCCTTATTTATGTTACAATTCACCATTATCACATGCATATGGAGTTTATGTCTCCCAGGTGATTCGATATGCAGGAGCTTGTTCTACCTGCGACAATTTCTATAAAACGAGGCAAGTTACTGACAAATGAGTAGACGATACAAGGATATCAACAGTCTCGTTTAAATTCAACGTTTCGCAAATTCTGTAGTCGATACAATGACATTCTTATTAAATACAATCTATCCTTAAGTCGAATGTTGACTGACGTTTTCCATACAAATTGTTAGGTCTTAATTTCATACTGAATTGTTTACGGATTTTCTGTTTGCCCGTTAATGATGGAACACACGGCGGGTGTGACCGATCAACAGGGGACGCTTACTCCATGGGACCTGTTCCCACCTCTGATGTTTTCTGAGGACCATGTTTGCTCTGCTCTCAATATGTATTTTTTCAATAAACTTTTGAGCTTGATTACTGTTCGTTATCGTCATATTTTATCGGAATATAAACCGGTTACGGTGGTAGGGCGTTCGCTTTGTGATCGGGAAGTCCGGGTTCGATTATCGTTCGTTGCGCCGCGTCAAACCATAGACGTAATAAAGATAGTAACTGTTCCTTCACCAAGGCATGAGAAGTGAAAGTCACAGGTCTTTCGTCGGAGATCCTAAAAACCGAGGTCAAAAACATGGTTCCCTGAACTCCTCTTACATTTTTTGCAGTGGCCCATTTATCTTTTGAAATATGATTAGGAGTATCCTGTAGATGGGCCATACGGTTTCAGAATTTCTATTTTAACACTGGGGGCGATAGGGGTAGTAAAACAACTTTTCAGTTAACAAAATCCTGATTACCAAAATTCCTCTTGCATTTAATGCAGGAGCCATTTCAACTTTTGCAAGATGATTGAGGGTGCCCTACAGATGTGCAATAAGATTCTCAAATTTAAATTTCACCCTGGGGTCAAATGGGGGTCGAAAAATGTTTTCGCTTTTAAAAAAGCTGGTTACCAGAACTCTTACAATTTAAACAGTAATCATCTCATCTTTTGCAAGATGATTGGGGTGTTCTGTAGATGAAGGATAAAGTTTTAGAATTTTCATACTCACCCTTTGGGCCAAATGGGGTTAAAATATACGTTTTCAAGATTTCTTCTCTTTTAAATTACAGAAAAACATTTTTCTGAAACTCCCATTTTTAAAAATCAGAATTTACCGCATTACAATCTTTAATTTCAGACCAAAAATGAATTAATTTTTTGAAATATTAACATAAGAGGCGTAAAGTCATGTGCTTACCCGTTTATTTTTTGTTCCATTTAATACATATTTACAATGTACAAGTATATATTTTATGTAAATTAAGAAAATAACTGACAAATTGGCTTCTTCGCTACCAAGGTACAAAGTAGCTTTTAGCGTACATTTGGATCTAGAAACACTTACATGCGGGCATTACTGTCTTATGACATCATCTAGTAATGAATTGAATGTATATCATTGGCTTAAGCAAAATTGCTAAAAGTAGTAGTTTATCCGAAATGCTACTCATTACCACAGTTAAAGTAGAATTTAAGTGAAAATTGGTAAATGTGCTTATACATGTATGAACAAGATTTGTTTTAAATTTCAATGCGCGATAAAAATTACTTTAATTGCTAATAAAAATAAAATAAATAAAATAATTTTTTAAAAAAAATCCTCTTCTTTTGTTTGAAATCTTATGATTATTCATAATTCCACATGATACATTTAACTTGACACGGTTAGAATATTAAAAAAAAGGCTTCATCAAGGTAACTAAGGTTATTTTAGGTTCAAAACAATAGAGATATATCTAAGACTTCTGAGTAATTAAGGAGAACTGAGAATATCATGTATAATTGACAGGGAATATATAACCATAAAGCAAACCTGCTTTAGGTTACTAAGAACATTCTTACCAAAACAATTGCAGTATGAAGATAACGAACAGTATTCAAGCTCAAAAGTCCATTAAACAATACAAATTTTGGAGCAGAGCAAACATGGACCTCTAAAACATCAGAGGTGGGATCAGGTGCCAAAGAGGAGTGAGCATCCCCTGCCGACCGGTCACACCCGCCATGTGCTCCTTGTCATGATCGGGAAATTACGGAAAAATCCGTCGACAATTCAGTGTGTAAATAATGGCTTAACAATTAGTATGAAAAACGTCAGTCAGCATGTGACTTAATTATTATAAATTGTATCTGACAAGGTCATTGTGTCGATCATAGAACTTACGAAATGACTTTAAACGAGACTGTTGATATTCTTGTTTCATCGACTTGTTTGTCAATAACAGAAATTGTTCATACGTAGGGCATGCTTTTGTGTATCGAATCAACTGAGAGACATAAACCCCGTATGCAGGTGATGAAGATATATTGCTGCATAAGTAAGGGAAGTTGACGATTGAAAAGTTAAAGTCATCACGTTTATCATAAAGCTTGGTTGTTAGATTACCATTAACGTCTTTTTCTAGTGAAATATTCAAATATGAAACAGATGTATCAGATTCTCTGGTATCTTTTATCTCAAGCTCACCGGGATATATGGCATCGACATAAGAACGGAAATAACCATTGTTAATTGACAATACGTCGTCGATATATCTAAATGTTGAGTTGAAGGCCAAAATAAGTGTTTTCTTCTTTTCACATATAAGATTTTGAACAAATTCTGCTTCATATGAATAAAAAATTAGGTCTGCTAATAACGGGGCGCAATTGGTACACATGAGAATTCCAATAGATTGTTGGAAGACCTGGTCTCCAAAAACCACATAGATATTGTCAATCAGAAACTCAAGCATCTTTTTAATATCATCATAGAGTACTTGTGGGTACAATCAGAATATTTTTTAACAAAATAATTTTTCAAATGACCAATGAGTTCCATTTTTATTAAAAAAGCAGATGTCAATGATATCAAAAAGCTGGACTTAATTTGTCGTGGGGAATGGTTGTATATAAAGTTGAAAAGTATTTATATTGTTGATTTTGGTAAAATTTTGTTGATTTTGGTAAAATTTTGTGATTTCAAGTTTTCCAAAAGTTCCTTGGAATTTTTTAGTATCCACATCTGATTTACACCACTTCTCGAATATATTGTTTTGCACAGTACTCCTGAAGTTTCTCCTTCACTACTGTTAATATTTTAGTGAGGAGTAAAGAAAGAGGCTTGGTGGAACATTTACTGGAACCCGCCATGTATCTTTGTTCGTAAGGATTTTTATGAAGTTTCGGAATACAATATACATGTAGATATGGTAATTCAAATTCATGTTGGTTGTTGGGAATATTATGTAATATCAATTTTGTACAAATTCATCAGGAGTATTTTACACACTGACATTACAGACACTTAGGTGAATGGTTGCTGACGAACAAAAGAAGTATAGATTTTATTTCTGCACATCATTCTTCGGCCTAATCTGAGAATTGGACCTATCAGAAAACATCTGACAATTCTCTGCGTCACTGGAACTGGGAGAATGGGCAAAGGTAATTATTTATAGGCGATATACATGTAAATAAGAAAATTGCCAGGAAAATGGCCGGTCATTTTCGCTGTAGAATTGATGGTTAAACGTTCTAGACAATGTTGTAGAACAGAAAGTAGAACGTGAACTGTTTGGAGACAATGAATCTTAAGCTTGTCCATGAAATATTAAGTGTTCATTTATTATTATACAAAGTTATGAATCGCTGGTCTTCAATAACTGAAATATAACTCTACCACTTGTATACTCAATATCTATACATATATGGTGGAAATTAGTGACTTGCAGCAATTTTATTTGACTAGACACACTATATGAATTTAATGAAGAAAAAAAAACAGATACAGATTTAAAGCGATGTCATATTGTCAACTTTGCATTTACCCATTCTCAACAATGTCAGAATTTAACTACACTATTAACAATTTAAAATGCTTATTTCATTTGAAATTTCACTTGACTTAGATTCAAATATTTAGAGCCAGAATGTATTTAAATGTACCTTCTTCATAATTCGGTGCAATTCTTGCATCGTATTTTGATGAATTGAGTAAGTGGTTCAATATTTCTTTCCTGAAAAAAGAGTTAAAAGTTAATAATTTTATATATATCTTGCTATATTCAATGTAACATTATTTTTTTTATAATCTGTGGGCATCTGTTAGACGACTGAGAGGTCCTCATTATCCACTTCCTCTAAATTAATAATTCGCACCTGTACATGTCTATCACTGGATATAGAGATTATTGCTGAGTGCTTTTAAATCAATTGATTTTTTCATTACTTGATTACATTATAATGATAGGACGAGGATCATTATTTTGGTTTTGATTATTCTTTGCGTGTTAGGAATGTGAATGAACTGTTTTTTTTTTTTTTTTTTTTTTTTAAATTGCCAACATGGGTAGTCATTTAATAAGTTTATTGCTTGCATCGTTTTCTTAAGCAAATATCCAAACTTGATAATATTCTTGAATATATACTGTTTGTTATATCCTCATATTTCTTTTATTTCATGTTATAGAGCGACATTTGTTCAAGTAATTTAGCGAGAAGATTCGACTGTCTTTCGTGTACGTATATATATCAGCCTTTTCTAGAAATAACGCGTTTACTGTAACTCAAGGTTACCGTAAAATGAATCCAAGCTGACATTAGCGTCGCTGCACGTGGAATTTGGCACAGAAGTCATAAACACATGTTTTCCATTATAATTAATAAACATTATGATTAATAAACAAATTAGATGACATGTTACATGTATATGCATGCGAACTATAAACACATATAAAAGGATGCTTTATGTAATTCAGTTATTTCAAATATTGGAAAATATATGATCAAAAAAGTCATTTAAAAGGAGGCAAAAGTTGAAAAGTTTGAGGAACAATTTTTGTAGAACATATTCATTTATAGTTTGTCTATCTACATGTTTATCAACGGGAAAATCTAAGAAACTAGTAGAATATTTTTGACCTATACTCACCTAGCAAGCTCACAAAAACACAAAGAAAACCGATAGAAGGTCACAACTGTAAGCACAATTTTCATAGCTGGTGTTTACCACGCTCCTACATTGATTAAGGTAAAACCTCGAATACATAAATTCCCGCTCAAAATGGAATAGCATGTATGTTATGTTATTGATCTGGATCGCTTTTTCTCTTCACCAGGAGCTCAGAAACTCGATAGGCATACAATAGGTAAAGTAAACACAGTGTTCATGTCATCGCACAGAAAAGTAACAGGGTTGTTCCTACGCGAGGTACTTGTTGCATAATCCGGATCATTAACTCGTACAAATTGTAGTTTATATAACAATTGTAGTTTATTTCTGATTGATTACATTACAGTGGAATCATTTTAATTCGTGGGGGTCAATGTTCGTGGGCAAGCAAAATTTTACTTGTTCGAAGGGACTAAATTTCGTGGGTTACTCGTATATACGGTAGATTTAACGAATTAATATGTTTACAAATACACATTCGTGGGGATGTAAATTCGTGGGTACGGGTGACCCACGAAATCCACGAACATTGGTCCCCCACGAATAATGATGATTCCACAGTATCTCATTTATATCACTATTATTTATTAAAGGAATCTGGAAAAAAAATCATTTAAAATAACGGATGTATCCAGGCATTTATTTAATATTGTCATTGTTTATATGTGAAATAGATTATAAAAATAGAAATATATTATTTTTTTTTCATTCGTTGTATTTTTCTTACCCTCTGGTAAACTTAGTCAATATATATATATATATATATATATATATATATATATATATATATATATATATATATATATATATATATATATATATATATATATATTCACCGCATTGTTAACAGTTGTATTGTAATTTTAAATGACGGATGTATCAGGCGTTTATTTATATTGTCATTTCGAAATTCTTTAGCGTTTATAAGCGAATTCGATTCTTTGTTTTCAGTCGATGTATTTCTTCTTACCCTCTGGTCAACTTATTCAATATCTATTTTTTTTTCACCACATTGTTAACAGTTGTATTGTAATTTACAGCGAAAAATATTATAAAAAGGGTTAATAGAATTATGAGTTCTTTGACCGAACTGAACTTGTCTGATCAATGGAAACATCATGATTTTGTTCTCCGGCTACAGAATAGTTTAACTCTTAACTTTTCAATACCAAATACTAGGACTGAGATATTATCCCTTTCTCTACGAATCCCTTCATATTTAAGGTTCATTGATACTCTGATAAGAGAGATAACTCTTAATGACATAAATGTCTATTATTCCTTTATTGATTTGTCAAGTTGAGATGTCTTTTTTATTTAATTTTGCCTCGCAAGCCATGATATAACAGTTTGTATTTTACTTAGATACATATCTTTCGGAAAATCATAAAAGGTAAGGCAACATTTAATATGAGTGAGGAGAAAGTTTATGAACCTTAATGCAAAGCTTTTCGATATAACAACACATATGAATGTAGATTGCATCCTTGTAGTATTTCAATGGCATGGAAGATGGCAAATATCAATGTTTAAAATTAGATCTATGAAATTTACACATCTAATATGAGGAATATATAAGTTAATCATTATTACCTACATTGTAACTGTATTACATCTATATTTCTACTGAATTTTCCCCATATAAAATTTAATTCAATGATATTTGTTTAATCTCTAAACGTTACTTGAGTTTACTATTCTTCTCCCTCCCCCCCTTCCCGAATTTTTTTCATACAAATATCAACTAGTCAGAGATGCAGACATGGAAAGAATGCATCGGATCCATAACTTTTTATTACCAGGCAACAGTTGTAAATATCACCTGTCAACATTCAATCAGCAAGTTTGAGAACAAAGCCCTCATCAAGCCTAATATTTGTATCGGTGCATATCATTTTTGCGAGTTCAGGTATTGCAAGATTCTGTTTCTCATAAATCAGGTATTCTGCCTTATCTCAGGAGTAGATATGATCTAGAACCTAGAGCCTTCCTAATTGTCTTAATGATATACTTATATTTTAATTTACAACTGTTTATTTTTACTGCTGAAAACTGTACAGATTAAATGAGCAGTTGTCATCATCTCTGTTCCTATCTTTCTAGTATCACGTTTCCTTCGGTCCTATCTGTCCCCTAAGCTGAAATACTGACAAACAAATAGATGCAGTAAACTTTCGCAATATTCCTTAGCTCAGTCTTGCATTCTACCATATTTTGAAATGAAGTCTACCCTGTACTTTCTCCAAATATCTTCTAAGTAAACGTAATATTCCTAAGCTCAGTCTTGCATTCTACCATATTTTGAATTGAACTCTACCCTGTACTTTCTACAAATATCCTCTATGTGTCAAAACTTTTCAATAAACTTCAATTACAAACTTTACTGTGCCTAGATATTGGCTATCTAAAACAAAATCCTCCTTAGTGTTCCTGTTCTTCCTGTTTTTCCAACTGTACGTATGTTACATTAAAGTTTTAGAATTCATAGAATTTAAAACTAACTATAACAATCTAGAGAAAGCAGTTTTGCATCAGTCAGTTGTATATTTGGTATATTGTTGCTTCCCGGCCGGATTTGTACCATATTCTTTATAAAACAAGTTAGATACATTTTTGGGAAAATAGTCATTTTGATAGAGACTTTGCTTTCTATTCAATGTTTATAGTGCTAATATGTGTCTGATCAACACATCCTTTCTTGATTATCTACCACTTATTGTTCTTTCTTGGTATCTTTATAGGGTTTGGTCAATGGCAATGGTTACCATTTTACATCTGCACTCTGATATGCCTATTACCATCTACAACAGCAATCATCACAACACCACAAAACCTGATGGAGATTGACAGTGTCATCCAAAACCAAACTGTTCATGCTTACAAATTGTCAGAGTATTTACATGTATATAATACACAGTTCTTCCACTCAGAACAAAATAATGAATTTATTTTTCCATCTATATACTCACTTCTCCCTGACAACTGTCCCAAAATTAATTGTCTTTTCCCTTGTGTGAGCATTAATGTGAATCTCATTTTTATCACCTTATGCATGGCAAGATTTAGTGTAAATTTTTCTTATAATAGAAAATTTTCTACAATTCTTATAATTTTGCTTCAGTCAACTGGTGTCAAATCAAATTCTGAACTTCCATCTTTTATTTATAAGCCAGAACAAACTACCACTCCTGAACCATCTGAGTTTCAATTATTGTTGTCAAATTTTTCATGGAACCATGCATCCGTTTTATTAAGTTCAATTGTCATTTTTATTTTAGTGATTTGTTCATTATACTATTTCTGTATGAACAGAAAACAAAGGTTCACACAAATTGTTCTTGAATTAACCACTGGAGGTGAATGTATTTTTGTACCTGTTTTAAATTTACCTTTGTGTCCTTCATTTTGGAAAATCTGTCCACCTTCAGATATTATTGACATAACTGTATCAGTATCTCTTTTTACCTCAAAAATGAAAATTGAATGGACTGGTTTCAATGTTACAAATGTTACAGGCACCCGTACTATCAATGTAAAATCTACTGTTCCTTTGAATTTTTTCTCTGCAATGAAAGCTAAACGCATCACTGAACAACCATTTGATGTTCATATCTTAGTTTCACATCACGGTATTTTTCAACCTTTACCACATCATGGTACATTTATTGTTGACTCTTTGAATACCAAAGAACATTTGCCATAATCTTTCTTTTCATTGTCATATTTCATGTCAGTTTTACATGTGTGCATTTTTACTTGGTACTGTCAAGATGTTTTTGTGCATTACATGTTAGTTTTGGTGGTGTTGTAAATTCATCTATGAATATGATTATCTTGAAAGTGTTCAATGTTTATAAAAGATAATGCAATTGAAAGCTATCCATTTAAGCTTGTATATATTGCCTCATTTTTTTTTTAAATGATTGTTGTAAATATCAAAACTTTGTATTGTATGCATTTATGTTTTTAGTTAAATATCTCTTTATTTAGCAAATGTCTTCAAAGAAAGGTTCTCCATTAGTAGTTATTACGGGCCTAGATAGGGGGGTCAACTGAGTGCACTTTTTTTTTTACCCCTCCCAGAGTTCTAAAAATAGACCTCTGGATGGGTCTAAAAATAGACCTGGATGGGTGTGTCGAGTGCACTTTTTTTCCCCCAGAGTTCTAAAAATAGACCAGGGATGGGTCTAAAAATAACTACACCTGGGGGGGATCTAAAAATAGACCCAGAATTCATTCTAAAAATAGACCCAGAATTCATTCTAGAGTGTACAAAAAAACCAAAAACAAAAAGGATTTTTGGAATATTTATATCATTTAAAGAACAATAATAACAAAAAAAAGTTTGATACATCTCAAACACAAATCACTTTCTCTGGATCTGGAATTAAAGGGATGCGACAATGCATGTACAGTGTATAAGTCTCTGGAAGAAGCCCTTGTCTCCTTCTATGTTCGAATTCATGAAAACAATCTAGAATTTGAAATTTCCAGCCACTTTGATGAACCATATTAATATGATCAGTTATGATCACCCATTTGTATCTTTGATAACCATGATATCCATGTTTCCTTTCCTTAAGACAGTATTGGTCCTCTCTCTGCTCATAATCTTCAGGATCAAATTTCACTCTTTTTTCCAACCAAATTTTTTTTTGGTATTTTGGATTAAATATTCGATTTCTGTTATAGTAATTCAGGATCGCTTCTTCTTCAGTTTTCATCCAATCTCCCTCTTTATCACCGTTAATACACCAACGATACTGAATAGGTTCTTGTTCAATTTTTATCCATTCTCCCACTTTATCATCGTTAATACACCGACGAAACTCCATCTTTGTACCTCTAATTTTTTTTTCCAGAATGAGAAAAGTTTGTTGTTTTTATCTCTTTATATACCTTTTTTTTTCTCAAAATCTATTTTTAGTCTTAGTTTTTTTATCTCTTTGTTACATGTACTATAAATATAACATCACTATGCAAAAAAAAACCCCTTTACCTTTGCATTATGACGTCATCCACGGTATAAATACCTTCTTCTTTTGACTTTCATTTCATTCTGTTGTCAAAACAATATTCAGACAGCAACACTTAAGAAAAAAAAATGGAAAAGAAACCAGAGAAAGAATTAAATCTTAGGCAAAGAAATGCCTTGTACTTACAGAGAATACAGAAAGCTAATCGACATCAACAAGTACAGGCTTTACGAAATATACCTGAAGAAGAAGAAGAACAA